TGTACAGGTATAGTATAGGGGGTACCTTGCTCAATAGTAGTAACTGTGAGAGGGATCTCGGAGCCCTAGTGGACAATCACTTAGATATGAGCCAGCCGTGTGCTGCAGCTGCCAAAAAAGCCAACACAGTGCTGGGCTGCATTAACAGAGGGATAGAATCAAGATCACGTGAAGTATTAATACCACTTTACAATGCCTTAGTAAGGCCACACTTGGAATACTGCATCCAGCTTTGGTCACCACAATGTAAAAAAGATGCTGAGACTCTAGAAAGAGTACAGAGAAGAGCAACAAAGATGATTAGGGGACTGGAGGCTAAAACATATAAGGAACGATTGCTGGAATTGGGTATGTCTAGTTTAATGAAGAGAAGGACGAGGGGGGACATGATAGCAGTGTTCCAATATCTCAGGGGCTGCCACAAAGAAGAGGGAGCCAAGCTATTCTCCAAGGCACCTGAAGGCAGGACGAGAAGCAATGGGTGGAAACTAACCAAAGAGAGAAGCAACTTAGAACTAAGGAGAAACTTCCTGACAGTTAGAACAATTAACCAATGGAACAACCTGCCTCCAGAAGTGGTGAATGCTCCAACACTGGAAGTTTTTAAGAAGAGACTGGACAGCCGTTTGTCTCAAATGGTGTAGGGTTCCTGCCTGGGCAGGGGATTGGACTCGATGACCTCCAAGGTCCCTTCCAACTTTATTATTATTATTATTATTATTATTATTATTATTATTATTATTATTATTATTATTATTATTATTATTATTATTATTAATTTGATGACCAAATTATTTGGTAGCAAAGCTGTGCAAAGGTAGCCTTAATATGAGCACAACTCAAAGCCTACGAGGCAGTTGCAATTACAAATTGGTTAATATTCTTGGACATTTCAGCACAACAAACTTTAGTCAGTTGGGTTTCTTCAATTTGCACTCTGGTTTTTTTGCTCATAACGTCCTTCCAAGCTTCAATACTTTTAGGATATGTTTTGAAGTGTTGCCTAATTTGCATCTTCTCTCTGTTTTCATGCTGAAGGATATTTCATGTAATCTGAAGGCAGAAAATGAAGCGGAAAGGCGGAGGCTATACTGGGAAGCAGCAGGAGTCTTGCGACGTGTGGCTGGACCCTTCAGCGCTCAAAAGACGCAAGGTGGTGGCAATTTATTTATACCCCACCTTTATTTTTATACATAATTCAAGGGGGTGAATATATACTTCTCCCCTCTTCCTATTTTCCCCACAATAACTCGGTGTGTTGGATTGGGCGGGAGGCAACCAGCCTGCTTTCATCTCTAAGGCAGACTAGAATGCTCCCTCTCCTGGTGATTGGCCCAAAATCATCCAGATGGCTTTCATGCCTAAGGTGGGACTAGAACTCGCCGTCTCCTGGTGATTGGCCCGAAATCATCCAGATGGCTTTCATGCCTAAGGTGGGACTAGAACTCGCCGTCTCCTGGTGATTGGCCCAAAATCATCCAGCCAGCTGCAATGCCTAAGGTGGGACTAGAACTCACTGCATCCTGGTTTCTAGCCTGGTGCCTTAACCACTAAACCAAACTGGCTCTAATGTACTAAGGTAGTTTATTTCATGCATTGTTAAAGCTGAACAGCAATATAACATGAGAGATTTCATTGTGCAGGTAATCTGAAACCTGTCATCTTTCCAGGCCCTCAGACACAGGAGCCCTTTGTGGCCTGGCTCATACAAACTAAGCCATGATGGTTTGCTTGTTTGGGGGTTAATGTATTGGGTGAACTTACCTGATTGATACTGTGATTTATAATTTAGCATAAATTAAGTATGAAGCCAGATCATTGTGATTTCATTTTTAATGTGGGCCAGTGTGCTCACAGTAAAAAATGACAGTAAAGGCTATCGTCAATGATGGTTAAGCTAACCATGATTTAGGATGTACAAGCTTAGCCAGTATCTACCCTGGAATACTGTATCAAACAGGAAATCTGAGGAGATGAACAGGTTGGCAAGCACCTACAAAGTCCACAATTGAGTCTAGATCAGACATATTATTAATCTTACCTTAGTTTGATTTTGCTGAGAATGGCAGCTTAGAACCTCTGGAAAGATGCCTTGAAGTCACATCTAACATAGTATTAAGTACCAGCATTATGGTGCCATGCAGGTAGTCCCTCGATTGGTTGCTTAGCAACCATTTGAAATGACCCAGATTTGAAGTTACGATGGTCACGGGGGAGGGAGCTGTGGTCACATGACTGCACTTCAAAAGTTCATTAGCCAGACTGCATTTACAACTCTTGGCAACATCCCATGGTCAATGACTACATTTTATGACAGTTTTGCTAAAAACTGGCAATTCTTTTCAGCAAAAACATGCTCATAGCAAACTACTGGTTTGCTTAACCATCGTGATTTGTTTAACAAATGCTGCAAAAAAGGTGGTAAAATGAGATCAGTCACACGACTGAGTCACTTTATGACCATTGTGAATTATGACCGTGCTGGGCGGGCTCCATTACGGTCATAACCCGAGGACTACCTGTAGTTGAAAAAACATCAGTTTATTTTAATTACTGATTACACATTGCACAAACTTGCTGGGAGGAAGATTAGTCATAGGGTGATGGCGTTTTGAAAAAGAAGATATGATTGCCCCAGGAAGGTGTTCTGATCAGGAACACTCCTGTCAATAGAGGAAACCATACTGTGATTATTTGTTGCAGGTTCTGCTTGCAGATGCTGTTCAAATTGGTTTTTTTATGAGTAAATTGCTATTAATGTAGGGTTTGGGAATTAAGTAGTGTATGCAATATGCTAAAAGTGATGCACCAGGACAGTTGCTCTTAATTCTGTGTTTTGTTCCATCTAGAATGTTGTCACTAAGTCAGCCTTAACTCTCCTGGGCCAGTACTCTCATTCTGCTTCAGTAAATGGGCCTCATCCAGGCACTAAACAAACCACTATTTCTACTTTCTTCACTGCTCAGAAAGCAGGTACAGTCTGTTTTTTTTTTCCCATGCGGGAACAATTGTAAGATACTCATGACATGGGAAGAGAATTATCTTTGCAGAAATAATTGCCAATCTGACTTATTATGCACACTGTAACATCAACAGACCAAATGGCTGAAGTTCTTTGCTAAGCCACAATTGACAAATCCAGCGTACCCGTGTTATGTAAATGCAGTTTGTAGGTTTGTAACTATGTTGGGTAAAATGAGGGATCCCAGAACACAGATTTTTCTCTCCAAAATCCTCCAGTAAAAAAATCCACCATTTGTTTTATTTTGTTGCTGGGGAAGAGGAGACCGTACATGTATGAAATTGTTCAGGCTTTGGAAGTGAAACACTTTAGGCTTAATTGAAATATACACTTCTCATCTGAGCTTATGCTTGTGTACAAATATAGTGAGGGCTACACACTGATAGCCCCAAAGGGGACTGGGAGAACATGGCCATCCTCTTTTCATTGTGGAGTTACATGGTATGTTAAGCCATCATGTAGTCTGTCAAATTCTGGCATAAGGCCACTATGGTTACAATGAACAGTGGCTTAGCACAATGTAAACTCTCCATTATAATTTGAATAGGATTTAGTACATGCTATCTAAGCTGGTAGAAATTCCATTTCTTTATATGCTGCTCCAACAGCAGACAACATCTGGATTCCTGTTAAAATGAGGCAGAAATGGCAGTGATGGGTCTCTGGGAAATGTAGTCCTCCCACCCACCCACCCAGGTTTAATCTCCCCATTAATGCAAGGGGGACTTATCATTTGGGGCCTCTGCCTTGCCAGACGCAGAATGGGACAACTCTCCGTAGCCATCTCACTGCAGCCACCTCATTGTGGGACAACTCGCTGCAGGACAATGTAACACTTCAATTTAATTATTTAAAATAAAAAATATTTTAATTTTTGTCATTCGCATTTTATTCTGTCCTTCGTTTTGCATCCTTTAATTATTCTATTCCACCATTTCTTTGATATTAGTGTAACTCTTGTCCCGTGGCAAGTTGGCTGTGGTGAATTGTCATCGACCAGGGGTAGGCAACCTTGGCTCTTTTATGACTCGTGGACTTCAACTCCCAGAATTCCTGAGCCAGCATGAGGGAAACTTTGGCCCCTTCATGACTTGTGGACTTCAACTCCCAGAATTCCTGAGCCAGCATGGCTCAGCTTGGAAACCTCTCCCTTCCCCCTCAGCATGGCTGGCTCAGGAATTCTGGGAGTTGAAGTCCACGAGTCATAAAAGAGCCAAGGTTGCCTACCCCTGTCATAGACCCCGCCCAGAGGTGTCTCTGCAGTGCCTCAACTTGGAAAAGTTGCCGGTTATGGGGGGGCTGAATTGGCATGGAGGATTCTTGGTCTGTTATCCAAGTACCAGGCAGATGGGGATGCAGGCTATAGCTCTGCTGATGCTTGGAAGCTATTGGCCACGTTTCCACATTGGGGCCACATTTTGGAGTTTAAAGGTGGCCATTGAAACAGTTTGCCTGACAGAATCTTTGTCCTGGCAGGCAATTATATTCCCAGCCTTAACTCCTGAAAATTTCACGTAATGGTTTCCTATGGCTGTAAACAAAGTCAGAAGCTGCACAGCACCCAATCACCCCATTCCTCCAGCTCCTCATTACTTGAGAAGTGCTGCGGTTTGCTTCTGAGAAGTGGAGAGAGGTGGGGAGGGTCATGAACTAGCTCTCCAAATACCATACAAGGCAGGGGTTCCCAACCAGGGGTGCAAGATGATATTCCAGGGGGGTGCGAAAACTTGGGTTTTCAAAATTATAATGTGTATGCATAATTTGTTGCTGTTATTTCAAACTTTTGTAAGGGGTGCGAGAATATATCAGAAGTGTTCTAGGGCAGTGATGGCGAACCTTTTAGAGACCGAGTGCCCAAACTGCAACCCAAAACCCACTTATGCATCGTCGGGTGCCGGGTGGGTGTGGCCCATTGGGGGGGCGTGGCCCATTGGGGGGGCGTGGCTGCGGTGGTAACGGCAGACTGGGTGGGACTAAAAAGTTCAATCTATCAATTTCAACTTTGCAAGATATTTTTTTTCCCCGCGAGAAGTTGAAATTGACTGATTGAACCTTTTTTTTTTTTTTGCACACGGCGGCGGAGGCCTAAAGCGAAAAGGTTTTATAAAACTCAGCTGAAGGCCTAGGACTGGGGCGACGGCGCGTGTGCCCACAGAGAGGGCTCTGAGTGCCACCTCTGGCACCTGTGCCATAGGTTCGCCACCACTGTTCTAGGGGTACGGAATATAGAAAAGGTTGGGAGCCGCTGATATAAGGGTTGCACAAAGCCCCACCAGTAGATGGCAGCAAAAAGATAAAGGTAAACCTTTTAGTGCCATCTAGTGGTCATCTTTTTCATCCCAGATATTTTAGCAGCTAGTCATTGCACATTTTCAAGGCTACATAGCTGTAAGTTCAAATAAGTTACACATACATTTGCAGAGCTCTGTATAAGAGGATTTATTATTTGCTACTTCCATCGCACTCTTCACTGCAAAGACATACAAAACTCACAATGTCATCCAAAAAACTTTTGTCTCTCTCCATTGCATTTAATACTACTAAAAGGTGTGGAAGATATGTGACAAAACTCCTGTTTCACTACTACTTCTTCATCACTTCAAAAACTAGGGAAAAGGTAATTGAGGAAAGCAGCAACTTTTGAAGTTTGTTTTTTTCTCTCAAGTCTTTTCTTTAGGTAACAGTTCTTGGTTGGTTGTTTCTTTCAATTCCACAGAGGAGCAAGAGAGGGAATAATTGAGACCTACTAAGAAAGACAGGTTGACCATTCAGGCATAGCACTAGTTCAGGGGTTCTCAACCTTGGCGACTTTAAGACCTGTGGACTTCAACTCCCAGAATTCCTCAGCCAGCAAAGCTGGCTGAGGAATTCTGGGAGTTGAAGTCCACAAGTCTTAAAGTCGCCAAGGTTGAGAACCCCTGCACTAGTTAGAACAAGAGCCTGATCAATATTTGTATTATCTTTTTCTCTGGTTAGCCAGACAGGTTTTTGCAACAACAAACATATCCCCAAAACTTTTATTTTAAACACGGAGGCTAAGGCACGCTTTTTCCCTGAATTAAATGATTCTCCCCTCCTAGACAAGCTTCAGATCACCAACGGTCCTGCCTAAGTCCATGTCTTGGCAAAGCTTCTGAAAGCCACAGTAAATCAAGCAGGGAGACGGGATCTCCTCCCAGGGCAGGACCTCTGACTAGTAGGGAGAACATCCGATCCCTTAGATTCAGGTAGACTCTTGAGGGATGGAGCGTGAACCTCTCCTAAGAACAGGATTTTGGAGTTATAGCATTTTTTCCCCCTCAGTCACATATGTATCTGGCTCCTGAAGTAAAACAGCTGCACCTGCCTAGGACTGCTAAGCTATATAAAGTCTGTGTCGTTGGCCTCTGGCTGATTCGGATTCCATTGTTTTTGGCAGGGGAAAAAAGCACAGACCAAAACGAACAGTTGGTGACCTCGGCGTCAAACAACATTGTCCATCTAGAAGACTCTGAACTGCTTAGAGGGAAAAGGACCACAGCCCCGACTTCTGTCCTTCAACCATCAGGTCTGCAAGACTGCCAAACACGATCTGCAAAGCTGCCAAACGCCTCCCGCCTTTTCTTTGGCCGTTCTCTCCCTGCTCGAGCCCAGAGCCAGACCAGCACCCTCCGAGTTGCTAGTAGGGAGGAAGACGCCGTAGTAACAAACGGGGAGGCCTTTCTAACTACAGATCTCATTCAGCACCTGGGAGTAAAGGGGGGCCTTCAGCCGCCGATGGTCCCTGTGTCCCCTCTGAAAGAGAAGAATGGCGGCTGGCGAATTGAAGAGAGACCCGCTTTGTTCTCTCAGAGAAGCCCAAGTTTTAAAATAACCCCGAACCAAAGGAGGAGTGCAGGGAAACGGCGCAGAGCCCTCTCCTCTAGGGCAAGCGCTACTTTTGTGGACGACTCTGACTCTGAAAATATGGATCCTGACCCGGAAGAAAACCTACCGGGAGCGACACATTTGAGGGATTTCAACCAAGCCACATCTGGATTCTGTAGAAACTATTCGGAGGCCGTTAGCTATGAGAACAGCTCCCTAGCTTCAACGCAGCGGCTGTTCACACAGGACTCCGAGGGCTACAGAGTAATTTCGCACCGCTACGGAGAAGACAGCAAACGGTCCTCACCAAAGGAGCTCCTGTGGGGCAAAAGGACCCCCGTAAGAAGCTCCTTCAATAATAAGGGCTGCTTTAGAGATGGTTGGGCTGGAGACCGTAGCCCCCCTGGGTCCCTGGGCAGGAGCGTCTCTCCTCTGACAGAACGGAGTGAAAAGTCATGTTATGACTTGCTATTCACAGAGGATTCAGAAGGCAATAAAGTCATTAAACACTAAATCGTAATTGCTCTGTGAGATAAACTGGGCTCAGTGCCTCCTTACAAAACAAACCTGGCTTATATACTGTATACTGCCTATGGCTGTGTGTCGCATACTTAAATCTGTTTTGCTCAACATGCTTTCTTCAGATGTGTGAGCTAATAAAAGAAATGGAGGAATGCAAGCTTAATCCTGGTGTTCTAGAAAAGCTGCTCTAGAACAGCGATGGCGAACCTTTTAGAGACCGAGTGTCCAAACTGCAACCCAAAACCCACTTATGTATTGTCTGGTGCCAGTGGGCGTGGCCCCTTGGGTGGGCGTGGCCCATTGGGTGGGCGTGGCTGCGGTGGTAACAGCAGACTGGGTGGGACTAAAAAGTTCAATCAATCATTTCCAACTTTGCGAGATCTTTTTTTCCCCACGAGAAGTTGAAATTGATTGATTGATTGAACCTCCTTTTTTTTTTTTTGCACAGGGCGTTGGAGGCCTAAAGCGAAAAGGTTTTATAAAACCCAGCTGAAGTCCTAGGAGTGCATGTGCCCACAGAGAGGGCTCTACATGCCATCTCGGGCACCCGTGCCATAGGTTCGCCATCACCGCTCTAGAATTATTCCACGAGATCAGAGTCGACTAGCTTTCAATTCAGGTAGCTTAAAATTTGGCTAAGATGGGTTTACGCTAGACCCATCAGCCACAGCACCGTTTAAAAGTTGGTATTGCTGACCAGTGCTCGCTGCCTCAAAATGGAGGGTGGGGGGAAAGGTGCCTTTTGTTTTTAAAAAACAGCAGACCTGCCTGGTTGCACAGCTGGTGCACCTGATCCATGCAACGTCCGCAAGATCCAGCCTGCAAAGATGGGTCTACTTCCTTGTGCCCCTTTAGGCGACGTTTCAGACTAGACCACCAGTTTGTATGTTTACAAAGAACGCCAACCAATGAGTCTGAACAGACCTCCCAGTTGTTCTGCCCCAATGAACACCTGATGCTCTCCAAAGGCTTTGGATTTGAATGCCAGTCAGCCTGAACCTCAGGCTAACGGCAAGTGCTTTGGGGAACTGCAGCCCAAAAAGGCTGGAAAGTACCAGGTTGTCTACATCTGGCTTTACAATATCTTTAAATAGCTTGATAGAATATTACTATTAAGAGTGGGAAAGAATGGGTGAAGTGGAAACTTGTTTTGTGCGCCATGGGAAAGAGAGTGATATAAATTCCCTGAGGGTTGAAAGTTAGTGATTTAAACCAAAATGGTTCCCCTACATAACAAGTGGCAGCATCAGGAACAATCGTGCTACAATTGCTGCTGACAAAAGGATCAGCCAGTGCTCAAAAGGCTTTGAAAATATACTGCAAAAACTTTTCCACACTTTTGCAAATTGCCAGGAGGTTCTGAATGGTGATTATTAGTGGCAATAATTTTAAACATGCAGACAAGCACTAGAAAAGATCTTCCAATTGCTTTAAAAATGCCATAGCCTGATGCTACAGACGAGTCCAAGGAGTTGTTTTGCAAATTCTTGGGGGGGAGGGCAACTGAGGGGTTCCTTTGAGAGTTCTTGGTTTTTGCCAGCACAAAAGACCAAGCCATTCTTGAACTGTCCTGACCATCCCCAGTCCTAAAGTATCTTACAAATTCACAGGTTATTTGGTGCCCTCCCACTAGAAACTTGACCACTGTGCTATTCTTCCATTTGTGTTAATTCCACCTGCTTGACCCTGAGCTTAAAGCAAAGAGCAAAGCATGCAGATTCTGTGTTTTGTGTCAACAAATAAAAAAGATAGGAATTTTAGCTTTCAAGAGCTGATTTGCAAGACTGGGTAGCAGCCTGAATTCAAAGGGGTAAAGATACTTCGGAGCGCACATAGGTGGGCTTCACACATGCGCCAGCAACTCCGTAGATGTATTTGCTTCAAGGAGGTGTTGACAAGTGGACTCTAAGTGTACTTTCAAATCTGCACTGCTGCACAGCTTTAGTATATCATCAGCAAACATTTTAAATTCAATGCTTAGATTTAGACACTTGATTACATCTTTAGTCAACTATACCTCTGTTGTTTGAAGGATGTTGGTTGTGAAGAGAGGCTGCATAAAATAAGAACTGTTCAGAAATCTAGCTTTACAAAACAAATCTTGGGACTCAAACAGTTTAAGTATTCACAGGCTTCAGATCTGTAGCAACGCTACGAAATATATTTTTTTTAACGAAAATCATCACCGGCAATTCCCACTTTAAAAGAATCCGTACTCACTGCTTCAGTTCAGAATGTGGAAAAGTTTTACCTTTAAAAAAAAGTTGTATCGTTTGGCTGTGTGGAAAAAAAAACCCCCAGCAAAATGTCAGTTTTTCTCGCTTAGTGTGTTCCTTCCTTTTGCACAAAAGCACACAGGAAGCCTAACCCCTAAAGGATATTTAATGTTCAAGGAAGGCAACCACTGTGGAGAAAATTTTTTAAGAAGCATACTAACATAAGAAATGAATATAACTGTCAGTTCTTTTTCATATTTACATCTTCGTCTTTCAAAGCAAATTTCCTTCTTAAAACTTCTGCTATAAGAATCGCAGGATCCTCTTCTTTCAGTATACTTCTGTTCCTAAAAGGAAGATAGAAGATGCAGGATGTTACATAAGAGTATGGGCAGATTTTCATAAGCTGCAGTACCTGAATTATTTACCGACACTCTAAAATATTTACCAACATTCTAAAATAAGCTGGCAGCTTTTTCATCAAACTATTTTATTACCAGATTGGTTTATTTTTTCCCCCCAAGATCATAGCTAAGATGATATGATCTACAAACACTACTACAAAGGGCTTAGATCAGTGTTTCTCAACACTGGCAACTTTAAGACCTGTGGATTTCAACTCCCAGAATTCCCCTGGCAGCTTTCCCTTTCCTACTCTCTAGCCCAGGGCTTTTCAACCTTTTCACCCATTGTGCCACTTTTAGGATATGGCAACATCCGAGTACCACCAGTCGCCTAGCAAGGTGTCAAAAACTTGATGACCAAAAAAAAGGGAAAAAAGTGATAAAGTACAGGTAGTCCTCGACTTACAACAGTTCACTTAGTGACTGTTCGAAGTTACAATGGCACTGAAAAAAGTGCCCCCCAAGCCACAGCCGAGCAAGACACCTGCCCACCCAGCTGCACTCTTCCTCCTGTCCGAGGTTTCCATTGTTGTGAGCATTTCTGTTGAGGATTGGCAGCGGGGGTGGGGTGGGGGGGTGTTTGGTTTTTATTCCCCCCTGTCTGCTGGGTGGTTGCAGCAGGTTTTGGTCACTTCACATGACCCTGGGACACTGTGACCGTCATAAATATGAATCAGTTGCCAAGCATCTGAATGTAAATCACAAGACCCTGGAGGTGCTGCAACATTCCAGCTGATCGGCGCTTCTTCTGGGCTCAGCAGAAGCGTCAGGATCAGCACCGAGCTCCAGCCGGAGCCTGGTGCTGATCCTGGCGCTTCCGCTGAGCCCTGACAGCCCTGCAGCTCCAGCCATCTCTCACTCAGGCTTGTGTGTTGCTGCCCCCGGTTCAGCTCATTCCCCTCCCCCGCTACCACTTTTCTAGGATGGTGGCGTACCACCTGCCAGGTGCCAATGTACCACAGGTGGTCCCCATACCACTGGTTGAAAAGCCATGCTCTAGCCTGCAACAGTCTTTCCTTCTTTTCATTGTCCAGCAGAGACTTCTCTTCCCATGTCATCCCAGGTGAAGCCTTGCCTCTTTGCTGCCCTTGGCCCACCATGGAGTGGAACATGAATGTGGGAAGGGGCTCCTGGAGAGCGGTGTTCAGAGCAAGGTAATTTAGGGTGCCAATGGTGTAGACTGGTCAACCAAGCCCAACTAACTGACCCAGGCTGAGGCAAGCCCCTAGGCTCCCAAAATGGAATATTTATGGTCAATGGCCACAAAAAAATACATTGCCCTAAAATCCAAAACCACAAAACAATATGGTGAAAACTGTAAAAAAGATGCTGAGACTCTAGAAAGAGTACAGAGAAGAGCAACAAAGATGATTAGGGGACTGGAGGCTAAAACATACCAAGAATGGTTGCTGGAATTGGGTATGTCTAGTTTAATGAAGGACGAGGGGGGACATGATAGCAGTGTTCCAATATCTCAGGGGCTGCCCCAAAGAAGAGGGAGTCAAGCTATTCTCCAAAGCGCCTGAAGGCAGAACAAGAAGCAACGGATGGAAACTAATCAAGGAGAGAAGCAACCTAGAACTAAGGAGAAACTTCCTGACAGTGAAACAATTAACCAGTGGAACAACCTACCTCCAAAAGTTGTGAATGCTCCAACACTGGAAGTTTTTAAGAAGAGACTGGACAGCCATCTGTCTGAAATGGTATAGGGTTTCCTGCCTGAGCAGGGGGTTGGACCAGATGACCTCCAAGGTCCCTTCCAACTTTATTATTATTATTATTATTATTATTATTATTATTATTATTATTATTATTATTATTATTATTATATCATCATCATCATCATCATCATTTTAAAACCCGTGGATTTCAACTCCCAGGAAATCAATTTCACTACTAAAAGACTAACATGGGGGTTTGGAATTAAGCATATTTAAATGTGAGCTCTCTTATTTATAATGTGTTTCTCACATCTGTTCCAGCTCTAGTTTTCATGCTGTTTTCCCCTGATACTGAGGTAATTCTGTTTACCGGTTTAATTAACTTGAGCTAAGAACAAGAATCCCAATGGATGAGCACATTAAAAGGTGCCAGGAGAATTTAAAATACAATTGATGTTAAGCTCTAATATTATGGAAAAGCATCCAAAGAACTCCACCCTTCCTTCAGTTCTGTTTTTGCTCCATACATTACAGACAGTCCTTGACTTACCTCCATAATGGAGCCAGTTTTCAGCAAAAATGTTGTAAAATCTGGTCACACGATTGTGGGATTCTGCAAACAGCTGTAAATGTGGGCCAGCATCTAAAGTGCATCTGACCGCAGGGTTATGTGTTTGTGTGGCGCATCAGAACTTTGGAACTGGGTTGTAAGTACCTTTTGGGGGATGTATCAGAACTTCAAATGATGCTAATTGGCCAGTTGTAAATCAAGGACTATCTATGGGCCATTTTGAAAAATCAGAAGTTGAGATTAAGGAAACCCATTCTAAACCCAAGAGCTATGATATTGAACCAAATGTTCCTTTTAATCTGGTAGGTCCCTCTCCTACCTAATGTCATCATCAAC